ACATACATACACACACACACACACATACAGACACACACACACACACACATACATACAGATTTTTGGAAAGAAAGAAAAGAGCACAGGCATTATCAGCTACAACAGACAAGTGCATTAAATTAATAGTCTTAAAGGCAAACATTAATCAAACAACAAACTATGACCATCGAATCACTTCTGTAGATGGAGATGGTTGAACAATATAAAGAAAAACACATGAAAAGGGTTCTCTGTGTCTCTGTTTACCACAGAAAAATGTTATTGCTCAGAGGTTGCGCTTTTATATCTCTATATCTATGATTCATTTTAAATACATTTTTTTTAAATATACATACAAGTATATTTTTTTCTGTAAGTTCTCTCTTTAAAAGCATGCTAAAGTGCACTTCTTTTTCACAAAGGTCTGCATTTGCTCATTTAATCTCACTGAAAAGAAAAGAAAAGAAAAGGTTTCTTTTCATTTTCTATGGATAGGAACACTCCCAAACTGATTTGTGTTTAATCAATATTTATTAGTTTGTATGTGTGTGTGTGTGTGTGTGTGTGTGTGTGTGTGTGTGATAGGCGATATTTCACCGAACCAGCAGATGTCTCTGTTTGTTCATTTTGTCTGAGAAACAACTGAGATCAGCTTCAGGGTTTTTCCATCTTCTATGGATCGCAGCACTTCTAAACATATTTGCAGGTTTGTGTTTAACAAATATCTATTAGTTTGTATTTGTGTGTGTGTAATAGGCAATTTTTGACCGAAACCGCAAAGATGAGCTGCCAGGTCTACAACTGGAGTGGATTGATGGAATCTGTGCGCCGCTGTATGAGGTAATACTTCATCAATACAATAATGTGACAAAAATCTTGTATAGAGAAATGTCAAAGAGGGTTGTTACCCAATCCATAAAAAAAAACTTTTACATATAACTTCAAGCTTGAATTGTCATTTCTACCACTCTAGAGCCACCAAATGAAATTGCAAAAATCATTTCCCATCATTCCACCCATCTTCTATTGGTTAGTCAAAGATAGTTTCACCCCAAACACACTCGATTGGTCTGTACCAGAAATCTAGCTACGAATGACTGACTTGTAAATATGTCTGCATAATAATGTATGTTTTTAAATTAATGGAACAGTTTGTTAAACCTTTAGACAAAATAAAAATGGCTCATATAGTATGATATAATAGAATATGAAGCTCAAACTTTAGGAGAAAAAAAATATTTTATTTTATTTTTATATTCATTTAAGCAATTATATTCATTTCGTAACATAAATATATCTTACTGTAGGCTATATCTTTAGAGTTTTATAATTCATTATCTTCTTGTCGATCCAGCAGTTCACATTTACAACTGCTTGTTTTCTGTGTAAAAATAAGTGTCGTTTTTGGCTTTGGTCTAAACAAAGAGCAGAAGGGCTTATTGAAAAATGCAAATTCATTCTCTGCCAGCAGGT